TAACTACACAGCTAATTATGTTCTGAGGTAGGGAATCTATCTACACTTAACTAACTACACAGCTAATTATGTTCTGAGGTAGGTAATCTATCTACACTTAACTAACTACACAGCTAATTATGTTCTGAGGTAGGTAATTTATCTACACTAAACTAACTACGCAGCTAACTATGTTCTGAGGTAGGTAATCTATCTACACTTAACTAACTACACAGCTAATTATGTTCTGAGGCAGGGAATCTATCTAAGCTTAACTAATAACAGCTAATTATGTTCTGAGGCAGGGAATCTATCTAAGCTTAACTAATAACAGCTAATTATGTTCTGAGGTAGGGAATCTATCTACACTTAACTAACTACACAGCTAATTATGTTCTGAGGCAGGGAATCTATCTAAGCTTAACTAATAAGAGCTAATTATGTTCTGAGGCAGGGAATCTATCTAAGCTTAACTAATAACAGCTAAGTATAAACTCTATAAATATCTGATCAAATGAGCTCGAAAGAGAATTATCAACTTTTCCAAAATCAAAGTCAAATTGTGAGTCCAGGGTCCAATGTCTAATGTACTGCAAGACACCCCACACTGATAATTGCATCAAAACTTGTCTATGATAAATCCTTCTATTCTATATCTATGGTATGGATGTATGTGGCATGCCTTTGTAAAGTTTATTTTCAACAACAGCTTCTATTTAAATAGAAATAAAATAAGTGAATTATTTTCTTGCCAGCTATTTAAGCCGAAATAAATGTCTATATATTTGCATCATACCAATTTCATTCTGATTGTTTTTTTCTCGCATTTTTAACATTTTTTGTTGCAGAATTTTTGTAATAAATCAAGGAGACAACAACACCTTCAATAGGTAATAAAATTTAAAATATTTTTGAATATATATAATGTTATAGACGCATTAGCCAGATTTTAATACTAAAATGTTCAATAATAGTGATAATTAGGTTTCTTATCTTACAGTGAAATAAGTGAAATTTTGAGTTCTTAATGTCAACTAATGGCAGAAAATGTTGTTTTCCTTGTTATATTTGACACTTGTGACGTCATGTAAAATTGGTCAATTTCTCTGTTGCCACCTATTGTACTTGATAATCAATGGTTTAAGTTAAAAATTTAAAATTTCTGTAAGATGATTTCCAGAATCCAGGAAATTATTCAACAAATCAGATGACAGGTGTTAGGGACAGATATTAAGCAAGCTTGAATGCCACTTTCTCAGGATTGATGATTGATTGATAGAAAAATTGATAGGTTAAATATTTAAGCTATAGCTTCATATTACGGTTTAAGTTAAGTCATTTAAGCTGTAGCTTTTTGTTCATTGGTTTTAGCCTCATTGACAAAATTGTTAATTTCTTTGCTTAGAGCTGCGGTTTTCAATGCTGGATATATTGAAGCAATTAAATATTTTGATTGGAGCTGTTTTGTATTCCATGATGTGGATTTGTTACCAGAAGACGACAGGTGCTGACATTTTTATTAACAATTCAGGGGAAGAAACTTCACGATTATACTTTTGGCCCAATTTATATATTTAAACTTTCTTTCCCTGGAATTCCACTATTTAGTATTTCACAATGCTTTAATCTATTTATTTCTGCTTGTTAAGGAATCTATATCGATGTGGAGAAACTCCCAAACATTTGTCGTCTGCATATGGAAAATTTAATTATAAGTTGCCCTACCCGGTATATACAAACAATTTACAATTGAAAGTTTTATTTTAATGAAATTATAGAACTTATAATTATAAAAAAATACCCTTACTCTTGGAATTTCAAAAATGGGGTCTGCCTTTTTTGTGCTCTCAATGTTACCAGAGATAATAGACAATCTTGGTTTTAGTTCATAAATTGTTATCTGAACAAAATTCATAATAACTTCCAGAATATTGACAGTACAAACAAGACAGTCCACATTTTGAAAATAACAAGACTAACAGAATTTTGTGATTATTGTTTTAAAAATCATGCATGTAAAAAATAGCTTGTCGAATGAATGCCGCAAATAATCACAAAGATCAAAGACGAACATCATGTTGTCTGCACTGCATCACGTTTCATGAGACACTTTGAAATCTGCATGCATGTTTCACATCAATTTCACTGTCTGGTCCAAGGATGTAATGCAAGGAAAGTTATTTCAGAAGTGTACACATCTTTTGTACTGCAGTGTACTGTCTCTGGGCGGTAATGTAAACACAATACGGATGTCACAGCCTGACATGGGATCCATCTTTAACATAAAAAATCAATGAAATATTCTGGTCATGGGAAACTATTATATAAATTATCAAAATTATCAAAATTTAATGCTTTTAACCTCCACGGATACTAAACGAACACTGATGCATCTATTCTTGTTTACAAATTTCACCCAAAGAGAACTGGTTTCAATATAGACGCAGAGTATACACGACCGCAATTAACTATCCTTGCATTTGACCCTTGGTCTGGTCACTGTCTAATGAATCGGACTTTTTAGAACTTTATGGGAGGAGTTGTTGCTTTCTCTAAACACCAATTTGAGAAAGTAAACGGGTTTTCAAACCAGTTTTGGGGCTGGGGAGGGGAAGATGATGACCTAGCGCTGCGAGTCAGGTCATTTAATTAACTTAGTAAAAAAAATATTATATTTGATAAATAAAATGTTGCCAAAGGAAAAGACTTTAAAATCTTTATGTTAGAGTTGGTGTAGAATAGCCCTGTAAATTTACGTTTAGTCTCCAACATGCCAATCTTTAATATCAAAAGTCTAGAATAATTTACCCGACATCTTCGCCATCGGAACTAGTCGCTTAAAATGTTTCCTGGGAGACTTTTAAAAATTGGTACTTTGTTCATCAGACATGCCTCGCAACTTCTGAGTGAGATTATGTCTATAAGGAAAGAGAGCATACTTGAGTAAAACAAAAGAGACCTCTTCATGCAAGAAGTATTTCCAATAGACTATTTAAAAATATAAAATAAAAACATTAAAAATTTTAAAAACTATGACTTATAAGTCGGCCAATCAAAGATTGATAGTCAAAATACAAAAAAAAAAAACATTTTATAACTTCTGTTTCAGAACTGCCGGATTCTCTACACATCGCAATTTAACTGTAGGGAAGTAAGTTTATGTTTTTTTTATAATTTAAAAACTAAAAAATAGAGTTAATTTCTCATTTCTTGGACTGATTCCACCTCCCCCATACATTTAATGCTTAAACAAACAAATTATCGAAACAAAGAAATTGAGTTTTAGCCACAAATTCTGATTTTTAAATCACTATATCTTTGCAACTTGAATGTATAAATAAATGTATAAATGTATAAATAAATGTGTTACTAAAATTTGAATCATTAATAGCCAATCCAAAACCTGGCCATATTTTATACATAATTTCAATTTGTCTACATGCTACTGTTTGCTGTAAGATGGTTTATTAGAATCATTAATCTAATTAAAGTAAGGGAAAAGCTTCTCAAAATACAACAAATTTACTTAAACCCAATCATTTGACAAGACAGAATAAAAATAAAAATTTCCAAATAATTTATTTCTGAAAGCACTCAGTTTTGTCTTTAATTTGAAGCAAAAATAATCCTTTAAAAATATTGGTGACGAAAATTAGATTTTTTGCTAATTTTCTCCCTTTTTTCCCTCTTTCTTTCTTTTTTTCGTTTCCTTCTTTTCATTTCTTCATTTTCTTTTTTTTGTCTCAGATAATGTGCCCCCCCCCCTAGCTTTGGGCCCATGGCCTAAATGATATTTTGTTAAAGGTTCCCTTACGCTATTGTTAGAGTAGAAAATTGTGCGTAAGCATAGTATCCATGTTTAAGTTAGCTTTTTTATCTTTACAAAAAAATGAATTCATATTATTCCCTTTACGCAAAAAACACTGACACCTTAATCACAAAAATGTTGATAATGTTTTTAGTAAATTACATAGTCCCCTTTGAAAGTAACATTATAAAAATCTAGTACAACCCAAGTTTAGAATACAAAAATTAAATAAAAAATTTAAAATTAAAAACCAACAATATGTTCCTAGGTATACAATGTTTAAGCATAAAGTAGATGAGACGAATCCTCCGAACCCGGAGAGAGTAAAATACCTTGCTCACAAATCGTTGAGTAACATTCGGAAGGACGGACTCAAGAACATCAAGTAAGATAAAGGGTACATCATAAAACTGTGGATTAGGAAGACGACTTTTCGACTCAGATGTGCATTGTTCACAGACCCGATAAATTGATTTTCCAGCTTTTTGTAACATTGTTTGCGTTATCAATTAAATCCACATTACAAGATCTGGCTTCAATGTTGTCTTCTTAAATTCCACAATTTTATGGCTCTCCCTGATTTAGAAGTTTTTCAAGGGATAATTATTATTTTTTTAATAAAAAAATGAATCAAGAAAAAGGGTCGAACCATAGTTAGATTATAAATGAATTGGCATTCTGTACAATTTTTATATTTAAAATTGGATTTTACAAAAATCGTCCCATTGCGACGCCATATTGAGTTTTTTGGGTGTTGATTGGACGATGGTGGCATCACTGTTAATATCTTTAAACACTCGACCAGAACCAGAACCATTTTACGGAAATAGCACTCATTTGTTTAAGTTTTGAAGATGTGTGCATAAAGCCAGTAAAAGTTAAATAGTTTAATAAATTACAGATTAGGCTAGATTGTTCCTAAAGATTTTTTCAAAGGAACTGAGTTATTGTCTCAAACTGTGATTTTCTAATTTCTATATCTTTGCATCCAATGTCGTAGACCTTACATATTTCAAACTATGAATTGTATTATATCAATTAATCTAAGTTTGAAATATCAAAATTCTACACCATCAGGTTGCAAATAAATAGGGATTCAAAATTTGAGGTTGTGGCAAAAACTCAATTCCTTTCAGTTTAAATATCAATACGGTTATATATTACAGAATTTTTCTTTGCACATTCCCCGGAATAATAACAAATCACACGATCTCTTGAGAGGCTGAACGCAGATCATAAGTATCAATATTTTTTTTTAGTTGATACAATCTTATCTAGATTATATTTGTTTCAGTTACACACTGGTAGCAGAGGATAACCCAACCCTATACACCAATATTACAGTTCAATTAGCCTTTCCAATACCAATACCAGATACACCATAACCATCCAACCTATATCAATACCAGATACACCATAACAATCCAACCTATATCAATATCAGATACACCATAACCATCCAACCTATATCAATACCAGATACACCATAACAATCCAACCTTTATCAATACCAGATACACTGTAATCATCCAAACTATATCAATACCAGATACACCATAACCATCCAACCTATACCAATACCTGATACACCAAGAGTTAGCATTCATTGCCATATATCAATATTAGATAGGCCATAGCTAGCCTATTCAAAAAAAAAAGACAAATGAACCAACAAATTTTGGTTAATTTTTACTATTTTTTTGCTTATTTGAACTATCTTTATGATCATTTAAGCTATTTGTTGCTCATTTGAACTATTTAAATGATCAAAAAGATAGATCAAATGAGGAAAAAAATATTTTTAAATGAATTAAAAGGATATTTCAAATCATGCAACAACTATTTGTTAGCTTATTTGAATTATATATATTTTTGTTAATTTGATATTGTTTGCTCATTTGAACTTTTGAACAGACCTACAATTTCAACAATTTTCAACAAAATTAGTGAATATTAAGGGTTAGGTTAGGTTAAAACACTTTCTGGACCAAGATCGCGGCTAGGACAGGCTAAGGGGCCTAGCGCTGCGGCGAGGACAGAGTCAGACTCGGGAGTTGGGCGCTACGGCCACATGACCAATAATATCAATGTGATATACAAATGAGATCCATGTTAAAAAATTGATAGGAGGAGGGGGGGGGGCCAAAAATTGTATACTAGGAAATTACCGAATTATTTATTGGCTCATTTGAACTGTTTTTGCTCATATGAACTATTGTTTTGCTGATATGAGCTATTTTTTGCGCATTTGAACTATTTTTTGACTTATTTGAACTATTTTTTTGTTCATTTGAACTACTTTTTTACGCATTTGAACTATTTTTTGGCTCATTTGAATTATTTTTTGCTCAATTGAACTATTTTTTTGCTCATTTGAACTATTTTTTTGCTCATTTGAACTATGTTTTTAAGCATTTGAACTATTTTTTGGCTCATTTGAACTATTTTTTTGTTCATTTGAACTACGTTTTTACGCAGTTGAATTATTTTTTGGCTCATTTGAAATATTTTTTTTATTTTTTGGCTCATTTGAACTATTTCGTTTGTTCATTTAAACTAAATATTTTTTGGCACAATTGAACTATTTTTATATTTTTTTTAAGTTTAAAAAACAGACAGAATGTTATCGTTTGAACTATTGGTCATTTGAACTACTATGTTGTACCACGTGCAAATGCAATAGTTCAAACGACCAATAGGTTAAACGGCAGTAGTTCAAAATAAATAGCACCTTAAGATCATGTTTGTGGGTAACCCTGTGACCTTTATAAGGTATTCCTGTATCGTGATTCTTAAGATAAATATAAATATAATAAAAAAAGTAATTGCAATAATTGAAAAAAATTCACTCGAAGCAGGGTCCAGATTTAATGAATAAATAGAAGTAGCTGAACCATGCAGCCATAGTTTACTGCAATGCTGTTTTAAACTTAAAGTTTAAATTCTTTTTTATCTTTTCTATGTTTACTTTTTATCTCTTCCTGTCTTGTCATGTTTTTCTTATCTTTAGTCTAGTTTACAAACGTTTGGTCAAACTTATTAAAGCTTTTACATTTGGGTTTTAAAGATTGGCAGCTGTAAAAAAATTTAAAGATTGGCAGCTGGAAAATAATTTAAAGATTGGCAGCTGTAAAATAATTTGAAGATTGGCAGCTGTAAAATAATTTAAAGATTGGCAGCTGGAAAATAATTTAAAGATTGGCAGCTGGAAAATAATTTAAAGATTGGCAGGTGGAAAATAATTTAAAGATTGGCAGCTGGAAAATAATTTAAAATCTAAGATTCAATTGAGAAAGATTCTGAAAGATTATTATGAAAAAGGAAGTTTTAATGTTTTGATTTTAGTACATTTAGAAGATGTTTTTACCCTCTGCATTGTCCCTTTTGTTTAATAGTAACATCAATGCAATTCATCATTTATAAATATTTTTGATTTTATTTCCAAGTTCATGGGAGTAGTCGAGAGCTCACAAATGGCGTTATTTAACTAGATCAGTATTTATTTATTTTTTACATTTAATATCTGACAGAAATAACTTGAGCAGTAGTTCTCTGTTTCGTCTTCTCATATATGGCTCCAAAACATTCAAGAATTGGGTCAAAAATCTAGATTCAAGAAGAATTTATTTTATTTTTTTTTTCAGTTTTATTTGAGGTTTTTCAAGGTGTTGCCTAGGTAGGAATAGGTAGATATAGGTTTAAAGGGTATCCTTATCAATCGGTCATTTCAGTTTTATCATTTAAATACTTGAAAGGGGTGTTCAGCGTAAATTTTATGTAATGAAATGTTATGTTATATTAAATCTGTTAAAATAGACCGAGTTATGGGAATTATTTTCGAATTTGGATAATGAGAACTTGAGAAGCCATTTAGGTTAAACCAATTAAATTCTTCCTTAGACAGATGTAGCAGAGAATATCCAAGTAGTAGTCCTGTATATCCACCTAGCTCAGCTACCATAGATAACCAAGTATATCTGGATATATAAATATATAAGGATCAGCAGAGAATATCCAAGTAGTAGTCCTGTATATCCACCTAGCTCAGCTACCATGGATAACCAAGTATATCTGGATATATAAATATATAAGGATCAGCAGAGAATATCCAAGTAGTAGTCCTGTATATCCACCTAGCTCAGCTACCATAGATAACTAAGTATATCTGGATATATAAATATATAAATATCCAAGTAGTAGTCCAGTATATCCACCTAGCTCAGCTACCATAGATAACCAAGTATATCTGGATATATATATATATAAGGATCAGCAGAGAATATCTAAGTAGTAGTCCTGTATATCCACCTAGCTTAGCTACCATGGATAACTAAGTATATCTGGATATATGAATATATAAATATCCAAGTATTAGTCCAGTATATCCGCCTAGCTCAGCTACTATGGATAACCAAGTATATCTGGATATATAAATATTTAAGGATTAACAGAGAATATCCAGGTAGTAGTCCTGTATATCTACCTAGCTCAGCTACCATGGATAACTAATTATATCTGGATATATAAATATATAAATATCCAAGTAGTAGTCCTGTATATCCACCTAGCTCAGCTACCATGGATAACTGTGCATAGCTGGATAGATACATATATAAATATCCAAGTAGTATTTCTGTATATCCACCTAGCTCAGCTACCATGGATAACCAAGTATATTTGGATATATAAATATATAAATATCCAAGTAGTAGTCCAGTATATCCACCTAGCTCAGCTGCTATGGATAACCAAGTATATCTGGATATATAAATATATAAGGATCAGCAGAGAATATCCAAGTAGTAGTCCTGTATATCCACCTAGCTCAGCTACCATGGATAACCAAGTATATTTGGATATATAAATATATAAATATCCAAGTAGTAGTCCAGTATATCCACCTAGCTCAGCTGCTATGGATAACCAAGTATATCTGGATATATAAATATATAAGGATTAGTAGAGAATATCCAAGTAGTAGTCCAGTAAATCCACCTAATTCAATATAAAAAATAAAGATTTTTATAATATTTTCTTTTGTTTAATAATAAATTACTAATGAACTATATACACTCATTTTACAATCTAACTCATATTACAATCTACAAGTAAAAGTATGCATTAATAAGCAGTTTAGAGACAGACCAGATAATCTTATAGTTTTAGACTATTTTGATATTCTTCCTTTTCAATTCCTAACATGTTAATTTAATTAATCATTCAAAGCGAAAAAATCTGCACAGCGATACCCCAAAAGAAGCTGAATAACCAAGATTTGCATTATATTGCGTTTCCTGTTTTTAAAAACAGCTGTTCAAAATTTTTCAATTATTACTCTGTAATTAGTGTTTTTCTTAATTTTTTGTTTTAAGTTATTTCTTTCTAAACATACAAGGATACAATCGCTGACTTTTAGTTTTTAAGAAAAGAACTGACTTTGTTGGGGGAATATTTAACTCAAAGTGTAAAAAAAGCATGTTTCGGTTGAATTTTTCTATTTCTTCGAAAGAAATCCCTTTATATGTATTTTGTGAGGCATATATATGTAGTATTTAAAGCATGGTTACTCATACTAAACTCCTTGACCCTTTTATCTAAGTCCAGGCAGAATGTAGAACCTGGAAATCGAGTTAGTGCACCCAGGAACCTTGAATAGGCTAGACATAGAGGAAATCTATCATTCTGATGTATCTTTACCATGTCTGTCAGAGAACATAGCAGGACACCAGCCTCCTTACCCATCATTATACATGAATATGCATCTTCGGAATCCTCAGCATCACTGAGGATATCAGATGCTGTCCTATACTCTCCATATTACCCTTTGCAAGGAACCGATCTTGCTGGTGATTTGGAACAGCAATAATAAACCATTCAGTCCAACCACAAACCAGCCAGTCCAACTACAGACCAGGAAATATCAGATTATGCTCTTTATTCTACAGCGGGTTCTATGAACAGAGCTACTGGAGACTGGAAGCAGGTAGAGTGTTTGTATATAGAGGAGAACTAGGATATCCAGGGCACACAGGAGAAATAGGATATCCAGAGCACACAGGAGAAATAGGATATCCAGAGCACACAGGAGAAATAGGATATCTAGGGCACACAGGAGAAATAGGATATCCAGTGCAAACAGGAGAAATAGGATATCCAGTGCAAACAGTGGAAATAGGATATCCAGTGCAAACAGTGGAACTGGGATATCCAGGGCACACAGGAGAACTAGGATATCCAGGGCACACAGGAGAAATAGGATATCCAGTGCAAACAGGAGAAATAGGATATCCAGTGCAAACAGTGGAACTGGGATATCCAGTGCGAACAGTGGAACTAGGATATCCAGTGCACACAGGAGAACTAGGATATCCAGTGCGAACAGTGGAACTGGGATATCCAGAGCACACAGGAGAACTAGGATATCCAGTGCGAACAGTGGAACTAGGATATCCAGAGCACACAGGAGAAATAGGATATCCAGTGCGAACAGTGGAACTAGGATATCCAGAGCACAAAGGAGAAATAGGATATCTAAGGCACACAAGAGGAGCAAGATTATCTTGAGACAGGAGACCCTGCTCTTTATAGACAGCTCTTCACATATCTGTTTTAGAAGCAGCTGAAGAACAAGACAATCTTGAGACAAGAGACACTGCTCTTTACAGACAGCTTTTCACAGATCTGTTGTAGAAGAATTTAAGGGACAAGAAATCTTGATGTAGGAGACGCTACTATCTATGGTTACAAGTCCAGCAATGGAATCAGCTGGGAGTGCAGTGGGAGCCATCTCAGATTGGATGAGCAGCCAGAGTAGCAGAAACTTCGGGAGAAGCTCCAGTAGGAAAGGAAGTAGCCGAGAATACAGTAGAAGCATCTCAGATTGCATGAGCAGCCAACATAGCAGAGACTCCAGAAGCAGCTCCAGTAGTAAGGAAACAGCTGAGAATCCAGCATGAGCATCTCTGATTTTAGGAGCAGCTAAAGTGGCAGCGAGGACAGTAATAAATATTGTAGCTAATCCCACATTATAAACCTGAACACACCTAGGTATCTTACATTGTACAATGTACATTTTAACCTAACTGCGATTGTAAATAACTATGTCAAACCTTTATTGCGATTATAACTAACTATGCTTATAAATATTATTGTAAATAACGACGTAAAACCTGTAATTACGTTCATTAACTTAACCTGTATCATAGAACTCAAAATAAACGTCAGTTGGAATAATACTCCACATTGATTATGGTGTGAGAGTAATTTGTTCCTCGTTTAGCGAAAACAAGAGTGGAACCAGGGGTTTGAGATTGAGTTGTATCTTTTACCCAGATACCTAAGAATACAGATATGAGCCGTATCTGGATTCATATTGAAAAAGGTATTATTGAGGAATCTGTAGTTCAAGATTTACTTGTATCTGTATGATACAGTATTGAGGAATCTCCAGTTTGAGTTGTATCTTGTAAAACTGATACCTAAGAATACGGAAGGTTGTTCCTGGAATGGTAATGATCTTAAAGTATTTATTGGAGTAGGGCATTTATTACAGGACTAAACTAGAAGGAGCAAATGAACCAGAGCAGCTGAACGAGAAATTTGAGTTCAAGGAACCTGTTCAGATAGATTCTGGTCTGGAACAGCTGAACAAGATATTTGAGATTGAGGAAGCTGCTCAGAAAGATCCTGAACTAGAGCAGCTGAGCAAGATATTTAAGGTTGAGGAAGCTGCTCAGAGAGATCCTGAATGTGAGCAGCTGAACAACGGTTTTCCAGAATCTAATAAAAAGCAGATTTTACCCGGATGGAATTTGTATAGATTTACCTGATCAATAAAAGTCTGAACGATAAACAACTCTATTTAATAGTAAACCTGACCGATATCCAGAGAGAGAGAGAGATTATCAATGGAAGTTAAGAGTACTGGGACTAAGGTGAAGCTTTTACACACGCCCAACCCATGGGAGTAAAATGTGGATCCAGAAATCCCTAGGATTATATATATACCTGGAATGGAGAAATTAGTTCTTGAAAGAGATAAACAAACATGATGTGATTATCAGAACCCTTTAGTTACTCTACCTAACATATTCTTCTGTATATTTTACAGATCTTCTATAGTAGAACACTGCTCGCCCGATATCTGCTAATTCAATTTGGGATTTTCCCGTCACCTTAAGTATATCATTTAAATATTTATCAATATATATCAGACGTTTAAGCAATTTAGACCTTCTGAAAAAAATTTGGGGCCATATGTCAACGGAACAAAAAATTTTATTTTAAAGATTTTTGATGCTCTCAAGGTTTTGCTTTAAGTATTATATTTTTACGAAAATTATTGAAAGGGGGCAAAAAAAAAATAGTAATTTATTTTTGACAAATACAAGTTCTAGAATTTCTGAATGTACTTTTTGTAATGATACTTAGCTCTTACCGGTGGTCCAAAGTACATATTTGTAAAGGTGCAAGGATTTGCACAAATATTCTTCTGATTCCTGAACAATTATTTGAACCAAAAAAAGAGAGATTATAATGCACACTGCACCACTTAACACAGAGGGTTTTGAGGAGAACCATTGTGGATTCCTGTTAATTATCTACATCAATATATATTTGTTGTGTCCAGCGATAATCTACCAAAATAAATAATAAAAATGTTCTAGACTTATTACAAGAAGATATGTCTCGACTAAATTGGCTGAATTTTTTGTTTGAAAGGGGGGACCCATGGGTACCGGGTACCCTGGGATTGACAAAGACCCAAATGAATACTGAATTATAACTTATTTTTATTAAAAATTCTAATTTATTTTATCTTAAAAATTTCAAATTTTTTTTCTAAGTGTTTTTTATTCTTCGGGCAACGCCTTGCACTTCAGCTAGTAAGACATAAGATAATGTTACAAATGTGCAGTTTACAGCTGCAGCAATTAATCAAAGAACCTGTCAAATCTTTCGTTGGGATGTTTAGAAAGATGAAAATTTCCCTGTATGATAATTGAAGGACTGCAGTATGGTTTTGGTGAACTATATTGACGTACTAAGCCTAGGGGTGTCAGAAATGATTTAAAGAATTTAAGCCACGGCTCAAAAATTGTTGGCTCCACTTAAATTGTATTCAGTTTTTCAAGATTTAAGCCGGCACTCAATTGAAACCGGTTTTTGGGCGCTTTGAGACCCTGCTTAAATTTATTAAATTCGGACACTGGATTATTTAAGCTGTTAAAATTTTTCTAAAATTCTGTAAATTATGCGTTAACAGTGTACAATGTACCAGGCCCGTAGCCAGGGGGGGGTGCAAGGGTGCAGGTGCACCCCCCTTTCTTCTGAAAGAGGGGTGCAATGACGAATTTGCACCCCCCCCCCCCTCGTCCCATATAAAAGAAATTGTTTTCATAAGTTTCTAAAATCTAGTTATAAATTATATAGCCCGAGTAAGAATTGATTTCCAAACCAAATTATAATCTATTTGTGCGTTACTCATTAAAAGTGTGACGGAGTTTTTGTGTACTCTCTCTACTCATCCCCTGAGTCATGTATCTCAGTCTACTGTGACCATCGCAGGCTAACTAACAGTTGATCAGTACACTCTGTTGATTAAATATAACAAAACATCAAAATTTACTCATAGTCATTTAATAGTCTAATTAAAACAGTATGATTTATTAATTATATGCATAGAGTCCCATGGAAATGAAATGGTAATCTCCTGTACACTTTCAGACTTTTAGACCAGTGTGCTATGTTTTATGAGTCTGTTTTTTGAGGCATTTCCGTGGTGAGGCGTTCCCATAGCACCCCCTTGACCCGTGAAAAGCTTTTTTTAAAATGAATAAGCAATAAGATCATATCATTTTCATATTGCAAAGTCAAAGTAATAAATGATTACTTGACTCTGTTAGTTAAGCAGTACTCCCTTAAAAGCTCAAATACACGTGTTAAAAGGGTTAGCCTTTATAGTGTGCAATGCATTGACAATGTAAAATAAAAACAACCATATACCACTGTAAAACCAAACCCCCCCTGGTCAAATCCTGGCTACCGGCCTGCAATGTACATGCACATGTGCAGTGCAAACCAGAAAACTACAAAATAGGATAAAAACATTATTGTAATATTAAATGTATTTAATATTGTTACAATAATTTTAAAGGTGTTAAAAAGATTAATATGCATTTATACAGCAATAAAATCAAAACTGAGGCTGAATTTGAGCCGGCGCTCAATTATAACCGGTTTTGGTGGATTTGAGACGCGGCTCAAATTCATTAAATTCGGACTCTGAAAGTTTAAAATTAACTTTTTTCATTGTCAGTCTGTTTTCTATAAATAAAATTGTCCCAAATCAATACCTTCTATTTTCTTGATAAATGTTAAATGCTTGTTGTCTTTGATTCTCTTCTACGCAGATATTGATTACATTTGGTAGGAAGGGGACTGCACATCCAACATTCTAGAAAACGGTAAATGTACAATTTTTTATATGTTTCAGCTGAACGGTGTTAAAAAGGGACTGTTAACGTATTTAAAGTAAGCATCCTTTTTCGGGTTCCGGCCATTACAAACCTTTTCTCAAAACCATTAAATGGCAACTATCAAGACGAGTAATTTTCTATGAAAACCGACAAAAAACAATAATTTTTAAATCTAAACAAAACAGTGCTGGGAACTTTGTGTTGAATACTGTATGTACAGTGGCGCAAATAGCACTTTTGTGAGGGGGGAGGAGAAATTAGATTTTTAGGGGCTGGGGGGTACATGGCGGGTTTAGCCCCCCCTGCCGAAATTTATCTTTAAAAGAAATCGCTGTTTTGGGGATTTGCAGTAAAAAATAACATAATTTTTTAATTATTGAAGGATTGGCTCTGGGCTCCTAAAAATATACCAAATTCAAATATACTTCCAACAGCTTTAAAATGAACGACATGAGTGAATTAATTAAACATGAGCAAAGAGAAGCGATTGCGATTGATCTCAATATACCCATTTATTCTGATCTGCTTGATCTCTTAATTTTGAATATCAACAATTTCTCTGTTCTCTCATTGGTTTACCACAAAATTTCCTGCCTTCTGATTGGATGTTTTTTTTCCACAGGATATCGAATAAAGATTAAATTAATTTGAAGATTGACAAAAACTCGAGATCCATCCTTGATCTCGATGTCCACAATTCAGCTTTTTATTATCCCCCCTCCCCCATATTAAATAATGCACTTTTTCCTTCCCGCATTTTCACATTTTTCCATAGAAGGATTTAGACAATTGAGGCAAAACCTGTATCATTAGATCATAAAGATTTGAGAAAATGCAATCATCATAGCTGTCGGTCAAATTCGGACCATAACCTGCCACGCAGGTTCCAACATCGGGCAGCAACTGTACAACCTAGATAAATTAAACGTTTATCTAAGGGGCTATGGATGTCATTTTAAGATGTTTGGTACTTTCTCAAAGACATTTTCCCAAGTGCAACTTCCTAAATGTACAATTTACCAAGTCTGTCCTAGCTGCAGCGCTCGGCCCCCCAGCCTGATCTAGCTGCGGCGCTCGGCCCCTTAGCACATCCTAGCCGTAGCGCTCGGCCCCCCATTGCAGCCTGCAGAGCATCAGACGGTCTAATCTAACCTTTGGGAAGTTGCTGCTTGGGAAATTGCAAATTTGGGAAGATGCGACTTGGGAAATTGATATTTGAGAAGTCATCCTTGGGAAACTGCCTTTAGGAAAGTACCTAATACACATTTTAAGTGATCCTTCATCTATAGAGTGGCATTGTTTAGAGTGGCATTGTTTAGAGTGGCATTGTCTGGAGTGGCATTGTTTAGAGTGGCATTGTATAGAGTGGTATTGTATAGAGTGACATTGTATAGAGTGGCATTGTATAGATTCAAAAACAACACCCTGAAAGCTTTGTATGATCAAACATGAGAGAAAATTTTAATGTTTTCATTTTGGAAATTAAATTCTTTTAATTGTATTTTCTCTACAAAGTGATTATCAGATATTTTGCAACAAAACAGTGGAAGAAAATGGCATAATTCGACTTTTTACGATAAATTTCACAGAATCGGCGATACAACTCTTAAAATAAATGGTCACTTGAAATTTGAATGACAATCCATTTAATTGAAGATTTGAACGACAATCCCTTTAAATTAGGATTGAAAACGAAAATTCCTTTAATTAAGGATTGAAAAGACAATCCCTTTTATTGAGGATTGAACTGACAATCCCATAAATTGAGGATGGACACGACAATCCCTTTAATTGAGGATGAAACAACAATCCCTTTAATTTAGGATTGAAAACGAAAATCCCTTTAATTAATCGGCGATACAACTCTTAAAATAAATGGTCACTTGAAATTTGAATGACAATCCATTTAATTGAAGATTTGAACGCCAATCCCTTTAATTGAGGTTGGACACGACAATCCCTTTAATTGAGGATTGAAACGCCAATCCCTTTAATTAATTGAGGATTGAAACGCCAATCCCTTTAATTAATTGAGGATTGAATTATCTGACCAACCTCATGATTGTTATCATGCAAACCTCATGATTGATAGCATACAAACCTCATAATTGATATCATACAAACCTCATGATCAATATCATACAAACCTCGTGACTAATATCATACAAATCTCATGATTGATATTGTGAAGATTATATATTTACTGATATTTTTAGCATATAAATGTATTACAGATTCTTATGTTGAGAATTAAGCTTGAAGATCTTTTCTTGTTTCTGGTTCTGATCAGACTGGCTCCTGGATTCTCTTTTCATCCTTCCCGGATTTTATCCTTCCATCTCTTACAGATTCTTAGTTTGTGATCTCTACAGTATCATACAAACCTCATGATTCATATCATACAAACTTCAAGATTGATATTATACAAACCTCATGATTAATATCATACAAACTTCATGATTGATATCATACAAGCCTCATGATTAATATCATGCAAAGCTCATGATTAATATCATACAAACCTTATGATTGATATCATACAAACCTCATGATTAATATCATACAAACCTCATGATTAATAATATCATACAAACCTCATGATTAATATCATACAAACCTCATGATTAATAAAATACAAACCTCATGATTGATATCATACAAACCTCATGTTTGATATCACACAAATCTCAATATTTATATCATGCAAACTTCATGTTTGATGTCATACAAACCTCATGATTGATTGCTATTTTCACAAAGGATCCTTTGTCTACATCTACTCTTGATCTACTATCAGGGGACAGGAATTGACCTAGTGAATATAGTATTTATATAATGAATATAGTAATAACCCGGATTCACAAGTATACCGAAGTTGTCAAGTGTACTTTAAAGTTGTCATGTATACCAAAGTTGTCAAGTATACCAAAATTGTCAAGCATACCAAAATTGTCAATTATTCCAAAATTGTCAAGTATAACAAAGTTATCAAGTATACCAAAGTTGTCAAATATAACGAAGTTTACAAGTAAACTGAAGTTGTCAGGTATACCATTTTTGTATACCGAAGTTGTCAAGTATACTAAAGTTATCAAGTATACCAAACCCGACTAAAACCCGTTATTTTTAGGGATTTTCGCGATATTTGCTCTTCCACGGTGGGCTTTTATTAACCGGGCGCTCGGGCAAAAAAAAAGCATTTTTTTAATAAATTTCAAGGTTGATATTTGTGTACCTTCATGATGAATAAATATATCTGTTTTATCAATAAAATCAATATTAACTTCCAATACACCCAACCGTAAAATGCAATCGGGCAATTCTGAAAAGGAAAACAATCGATGTAATTATATTTTTGTTGATAAAATGGCAAAATTCATAATTATAATAATAACCCATTGTGTAACATCTTCCATTGTAGTAGTACTCCGTTGCTCTAAACACCTAGATAAGATTTTTTTTCTTTGAAATTAGTTTTAATTTAAATTCTCGTCCAATTAAAAAAATTTAAAACTTAATATATATGCAAAAGAAGAGAAAAAAATCCTGCTTTCCCTACTAAATATATACAATACAGCTGAAGTGCCCGGCGTTTCCCGGGGAAATTTCGAATCACTTAAAAAAATTAAAAATTTTAAAGAAAAAAATCGAATTTAAAATGGAAAATTTGAATTTTTATTGAAAATTCAGCCTATTTGGTCCAGTCGTTAGCTAAAGTATCTATATATAAATTAGCTTGTCCGGGTGTCTGATCCGATCAGTCTCAAATTTTGTGCGGAACCTCACGTGGCCCCAGGGAAAGTTTATGGCTAATCTGACTTTAAATATGTAATCTTAAACTATTTTTATCTTAAATTATTTAATTTTGTAAAATTTTCAAAATGCGCGAAAAAAATATTATAAAATCCGCAAATTATGAAGAAAAAAAAATTTGTAATGTACAAAGAGAAGATGCTTACAGATAAGACCACAATTAAAAGTTGTAAAAGAAGATGGGCGCGAAGCGTCCAAAGGCCTATAGTATATATATATATATGAGCAAAGAGCTTTATTAAATAGATAGTACATACCTGTTTTCCACAAACTAACTGATTAGGTTTGATAAACATTATTGAACTTCCATTAAAGGAACCCTCCAGGTCCAATCTCAACTAGAATAAAGTTTAGTATTTAAATTATGTTTATAAGGAGGCCTAATTTTTTTTTTAAAAAAATCAAAAAAAGTTGGTTAAACTTGAAATTTTATTCCATGCTTTGAGATTTGAGCCAACGCGCAATTTGAATAGATGATTAGTGGTTTAGCGACGCTGTTCAAATTCATTAAATTCGGCCTCTGAACCAATATTAAGCTGATAATATATTCTACTGATCTGAACCAAGATTAAGCTGATAATCCCTTCTACTGACCTGAACCAAGATTAAGCTGATAATCCCAGCTACTGACCTGAACTAAGATTTCTTCAATTTTGATAAGTGTGGACTCATACAACTGCTTCGGAGAAATAAAACTAAAAAAAAAATTTCTGATTTTTTTTTTTTAAAGATTCAGAATATACATCATTTGAGTTAAAAAAATATATCTCTTTTCCTGTAGTCTACTAGAGGGTTCTTTTCGGATAAAGAGTGAGAATAAGAAAAAATGAAAAAGATGCCTTATGTTCGAAATCCAATTGGAGTTGAATTGAATAGCAGACTGTGATGGGATCCCGTTGGCCTGAAGAACATCTAGCTTGTAGGGATAGGTCGGGCATATAGTCAGTTCGGGGAACGGTAAAGTTGCTACATGAGCATATCTGAAGAAAAAAATCTTAATGAAAGAGATACATATAATCTTATTAATTAATATCAGCCATCTAAAAACGCCAAGAAAGGCAAAATTAATCAATAATTTCTTTGGAAAATGTTATATTTAGCATTTTTAATATAAATCCAACTTTTTATGTGCATTTTGTGGATTTTTGGATATTTGCTCATAAAATATTATATCGGTTTAAAAAGTTCTGTCCTTGGCTCATGCTTCAGCATTTTGTGCAATTTGAAAATATTGTAACTCGAAAATGTTCTAATCCTTACATTTTTGCAACCTGTAAGTGTAAACCTTTGATATTTCAAACTAAGATTATCTGATCTAACAAAATTCAAAGTTTGAAATATCTAAGGTCTATGACATCAGGTTGCCAAGATATTGGGAATGAACAATTTGACATTGTGGAAAACACGCAATTACTTAAGCAGATTATCTATTTTTACGACATCCTCCTCCCCCCCCCCCCCCCCGGGGGGAAAAAGAAAAATTAAAAACTAATTAAATTAGTAAATTTTTCTCCTTTTTGTTATTTTTTATCAACAAATATTATTTAGCCAATCCAGCATAATAGAGCCTTAAAAATACATTCCTGACATTTTGAGCAAAATCATTTTTGATTCGAGGCCTTTTTTCACCAAAAATTATACTTACGTATCTCCAGTAGATGTTAATTTCTTTAAATAGTTCTCAACACACTGTCTTCCCTGGACTATAAGGATGGCGAAACTAAATAATTCAGTTTCTCTTCATCAAATAATTCTCGAAAAAGGAACATTTTAATTTTCTAATTCTACGAAAAAAAAAGTCTTTTCCTTAAAGCAAATTTTGAATTTTCATTGGTTTAAAGCTTGTTTCGACTAATTAAATAATTCTTGATAAAGAAACACTTGCCGCGTATCTTACTTTTCTAATCCATAAATCTTTCCAACATGATTGTGTAAACCTTTGATATTACAAACTATTTAATAAAGCAAGATTCATAGTTTAAAATATTAGAACTAGTGAGGGATTAAAAACAGTTGCTGTTTTATTTTTGTTGAAAGTAGTACGTTTAAGAATCTTGACATATTTCTCAAAATTTTTATAAATTTTATTTTTAAAGATTTAAAAATTAGACAAACCTGTTCAAATAATATCAGATTGAAAAAAAAATAAATTAGAAAATTAGATTTTGTGGCCAATATTTTATGTAATATTTTTAATTGCACAGACCTCACTAGAAATATGAGAATAAATTGTACAGACCTGACTAGAAATATGAGAATAAATTGTACAGACCTGACTAGAAATATGAGAATAAATTGAATTTTCTTCGCCCAGCCAACCTATTCAAGATTTAGTGTAATTTGGAGTAATTTTGATATTTTTATTTTGAACACTGTAATTGTAATCTGTTTACATTTTACCTTCTTCTTTGTACTCTCCTGCTGTATTCCCTGCAAATATAAAAATTTGAAAATACGGGGGAAAAAAATACTTCGAAAATTTGAAGAAAAAAATAAAATTGTACGCGAAGAAAAGATCTTGAAGAAGTTCTTGAACTACCTAAAGCCAGTTCAAATCCTAATGAATCTTAATTATTAATTTTTTTATAAAATTTTTGACAAAATTTTAAAAGATTTACCAATTTTTCTTTTAAAGGGTTGAAGTTATCAAAGTCAGATACTTTGCTTGGTTCAGGGGTCCAGGGGTACATCTTGTTTTCCTTCTAAAAATATATTTATCATTTATCTATATCACGGTGGACTAAACCAGTGGGGTCGGTCGAATAGGCCTAGGATTAGGCCGGGTACTGTAAAAAGTCTGAATGCGCCATGGGAGTCGTCCAGGGGGCGGAAACGTCATGTGTGTGTGTCTGTACCAAAAGAGTGTGTGTCAGTTTACTGTACTGGTCTGCAAAGCAGTGCGACTGGCTTTCTCTTACCGGACCAGCGCCATTTCCTTTCCCTTTATTCCTGTTCCCAGGAGTTGTCAGGGTTAGCCCTCCGACGAGACTATGCCAAGAAAGTTGACCCCTGTCGTATGTTAGTCTGGTTAGGGCGACGTCCTGTACCATAGGATCGGGTCAGTACACGCTGTTATCTGGCAGGCCGGTACAAACTGGGCAGGTCTTGTTCGAATTTAAAGGAATTGAGTCTTTGCAACAAATTCCAATTTTCTAATACCTAAATATCTACAACCAAACTATGTAAACCTTAGATATTTCAAACTTTGACTGTTTGATATAACAGAAGTCAAAGTTTGAAATATCTAAGGTCTACAACATTGGGTTGTTAAGATATAGGGATTTAAAAACCAGAGTTTGTGGCCAAGAATCAATTCCTTTACTACGGCCCAGAGTGATATACAGCGTTACATTTCATGCTGGATTATCTCCAAGCTTTAATGCCAAATATGCACATAACACTCAAAAAACCTAGTATTTTGTGTAAGAAAATTTTTATATTAGCCTTATACATTTTTTGAATGATTTCAAAATATTATTTTGTTTAATTCATAAATATTTCTAGGGCATGCTTCAAATATACAATTGTTCAGCTATTAATTTAATTACTATAGTTTACGTTAAGAGCTTTTACTCTAGTCTGACTAAATAAACTGATCAAGTTTCTTAAATACTATTAAATACTTAAATGATCTTCAAGAAAAACAAAAACAAGTGAAAATTCCAGGAAACATTAAAAACAATAAAAATACGATCTTTGCAAAAGAAAAAGACGAGAATAATTAAGAAAGGTTTAAGAAAATTAGAACATGAAATGTTAAACTGTTTAAGCCCGTAAATTGGAAAATAATTATTTTCAAAACAATTGTACCGTGAAGTATAATTTTCAGTGATGAACGATGTATATTTTTAAAATAAATAGAATGACATTGTATCATTAGTCATTGTTCTTTTTTTACTTGTTAGCACATTTTTTTTTAATCTCTGTAGATTTACTCACATCAGTTTTAGGCTGTAGATGTCCTTTATTTCAAGCCACTTTTAAATGGTAACAATAAGTTATAAAAACTAAGCTTGAAATTTTTTTTAAAATTTCGAATTTTATCCCCCGGGACAACAGGGTTCCCTCTAAAAATGTTATTATACAGATTTTTTTGCTCTATTCCAATTCAATATACCACAACTTTTTTACCGAAATAGTAATTGATTCAACAATTATATACTTACATCAGGACTCCAATATCCCAGAAATGAGCTGATCTGATCATACACCTTTGATCTCATCTTATGAACCCTCCATGATGAAAGAAACTAAAATATTACAAACTTTTCACCCACCAGTTAAATGGCGAAATTTACAGTGTGTCCTACAAAACATGACAGTAGCAAGACGACTTTAAGATCGTCTTTGCTCTTTGATATTTATTCTTTTAGAAATAAAATTGCAGATATACAACTCTCTGCACGGAAAGATTATGTACGCTTATAGTGATCCAGAAAGCAAGATCACAAAAAATCATAATTATTCTCTATTTCATAAATATTAAATCTCAACTCTTTTAAATTATAATTGGTAAATGATTTTCAGAAATTAAGTTCTTACATTGAAAACTTGCCTCTTTTTGCAAGTTAAGCATAAATACGTAAACTTAAAATATTATGTACTTTTTTCAATTTAAATCCTAATTCCTTTCTAAACCAACAATTAATTGTCTATTTTAGCATTTCTTTCCATCGCTAACACAATTCCATCCTCTTCCTATCTCCATAAACACTTTTTCGCGGATTATGTGCACATTTCGACAAAGATATTAAAACTTTATCATTTCTAAATTGAATCAAAAACGACCACTATGATCTTGAAGATGTGAAAAATTATATAGGTTCCAAAATAAAAATGAGCAATATACTCTTAATTACAATGATTATCTAGATTCAACAAATATAGGTCCCGATTTCTTTGCAAACATTGAGCTTAGAAATACATAACAAAGTGAAAACCTATATCTTTTTCACAACCCATGAAGCCTATCTTTTTTTAACATTACAAATAAATCTTTAATTTTTAATTTCTAAAAGTTGTTAGTTCATCGTAGAAAAATACAAAAAATCCACCACCAGTTTACATTAAATATAATTTAAACAAAAAATATGTAACTTTCCTTTTTCGCTCTATCTCATACTCTTTATACTCTTATCCCACTCCTCCTACTCTTACTTGTATAATAATAGTTCAATCCTACTCCTCCTACTCTTACTTGTATAATAATAGTTCAATCCTACTCCTCCTACTCTTACTTGTATAATAATCGTTCAATCCTACTCCTCCTACTCTTACTTGTATAATACTAGTTCAATCCCACTCCTCCTACTCTTACTATTATAACATATAACAATTATTCAATCCTTCTCTTCCTTCTCTCCCTGGTTCAATCATAACTCAATCCTACTCCTCCTTCTCCCCCTGGTTTAATGATAACTCAATCCTGCTCCTCCTTCTCTCCCTGGTTTAATGATAACTCAATCCTGCTCCTCGTTCTCCCCCTGGTTTAATGATAACTCAATCCTGCTCCTCCTTCTCTCCCTGGTTTAATGATAACTCAATCCTGCTCCTCCTTCTCTCCCTGGTTTAATGATAACTCAACCCTGCTCTTCCTTCTCTCCCTGGTTTAATGATAACCCAATCCTACTCCTCCTTCTCCCCCTGGTTCAATGATAACTCAATCCTGCTCTTCCTTCTCTCCCTGCAGTTTAATGATAACTCAATCATGCTCCTCCTTATCTCCCTGGTTTAATGATAACTCAATCCTGCTCCTCCTACTCTTCCATTATACCCTGGTAAACAAGGGTTGGGTCTAGGTTCTCACAGGTTCTCATGTATGGGAGGAGGACGAGAAGTACATAAACCCATCTGCCACCGTATACATATACATACTTTTTTGACAAAATATTTTCTCCTAAATGCCCCTAGTCTTGGCATTTCCAAAATGTGGTCTCCAATTTTTAGTTCTTTTAATATTACCGGAGATTTCGACAATTTTGTTTTTATTTAATAGAATTGAAATCTGGACAAAATTCTTATAATGTACCCGGTAATATTCACAGCACAATAAAGGCAGACCACATTTTGAAAAGTCCAGGACTAGGGAAAATTTGTGGTTATTTAATGTTTTAAGAACAATATATGTTACAGAACTGACTCTTTCAATCTAAAGGTTACCCTGTAACATTAATCAAGCTAATTTTCTAACCATTTTCAATCTGTTACTTTAGGTTCTCTGTGCAGCAATTTCTTGAAGCAGGGATTAAATTCATCATACCAAATCAATCAATAATCTAAAAAAAAAGTCTGATTCACTAAACAAGGAAGGCTAAAAACTGCAAGTTTTACTACGTGTGAGCAGGGGGCGGAAACGTAACGTGTGTGTGTCTGTACCAAAAGAGTGTTTGTAAGGAATACCGAACCGAAGGCGTGTACTGTAGGTATATACAGTACATACGAATCTCAGTATTTGTACAGTCTAGGAGAGTACATTTGTTTATTGTTAATTGTTTACTTAAAAATAAGTTTAATATACATGCAAATTTTCATGCAAAGACTATAATTTGATTAAAGTTTACAATAAACTACTCGTTATTCAAGCTTAATTATAATTGACGACATTGTTCTGACATTTCCTTGACAGTAGTCATGTTAAGTGCCTGTACCAAAAGAGTGCGTGGAAGGTATACTGAACTCATCTGCAAAACAGTACTACTGGCTTTCTCATGCCAGAACAGCACCATTTCCTTTCTCTTTTTTTTCCTATTCCCTGCGTGTGTCCCACTCAAGGTTGTATAATAAGATAGGGGTTTCTTGAAGCGTTCAAATGCAGTAAGGAAAATGTTGTCTCCGAAGATAGATATATAAAAAACCTCATATGACGTCACTCTTTCCTCTATAATCAATCTTATCTTTCTATCTTAGGAGACGACATTTTCCGTAAATTGGAGCGCATAGAGGGTAACCCAGCTTATTATACAACCTTGGTCCAACTATAAACTTTACAAAATATTTATGTAAAAGTGCTTTAGTAAGATGTTTTTGTGAAAAAACAAAAGATAGCGTGGCCCCACTATACACATTACAATATAAAGACGACAAATAATTGAAAATATCATTAGGTTCCTTAGTTCAACACTGACCTTTAAGATCTTCAATATAAAATAAAAGATAAGAGTCCGAATTTAATGAATTTGGGCCGGAACTCAAATCCGCCTAAAACCGGTTCAACACTGACCGTTAAGATTCCAGGGGCGGATACAAGGGGGGGGGCGGGGGACATTCGCCCCCCCCCCCCCCCGAGATTTCGAGGCAAAAAATGTTCCCAATTTGTTAAATGTTATTGTTAACGATAAATTTAGAATAATAAATTTGTAAGTTAAGTTATAATATTGTTCATATCTAGTAATGTTCCTTAATCAATACTCATTTATCAAAATTGTAATATTGTTCCTAGTTTTAATGCATTTAAGTATAACTAGTAATTTCTATTTGTTCTTAAATTGCTAATGTTCCTATTATTGTTCCTGTTCCTGTGTCCGACCCACCTTAAATCCCTGTCCTAATCCTATATTTTTGTTCCTAATTCCTGAACAATCTGTTTATTGTTCCTAAATCCCTGTCCTAATCCTTTATTTTTGTTCCTAATTCCTGAACAATCTTTTTGTTGTCCCTAAATCCCTATCCGAATCCTTTAATTTTGTTCCTAATTCCTGAACAATCTTTTAATTGTTCCTAAATTCCTGTCCTAATCCTTTAATTTTGTACCTAATTCCTGAACAATCTTTTAATTGTTCCTAAATTCCTGTTCTAATCCTTTAATTTTGTTCCTAAAATTAAAAAATCTAGTTTTTTAGTCTTTAGTCATTAATTTTGACTCTTTTTGAGTCATTTTAAGTCAAAAAATTTTTCGCCTGTCGCACGATTTTTTATTCCTAATTAATCATTTTTTTGTTCCTAACAAATCTTGCCCCCCCCCCTCACTTAAATCCTGTATCCGCCCCTGTAAGATTCTTTTCTTAACTAATCATAACACTCTTATTTTGGTTCGCAGTGTTATAAAGTTTTGGGATGTCGTACCAAAATAAAAGTGTTATGGGTAATTTTATAAAGCGTGTTTGTGCTTGTCTTATTTCAATGGCTCTTTTAAATCAAGTCAAAGTGTAAAGTTGATTTCAATTTGATTTTCATTTCAATTGAAAAAAAATTTGTTTGGAAATATCCAAATTTTTTGGAGAAAATCCGGAACCAATCAAAACTTTATAGCACACGTGACATATCACCTAGTTTAACATTTTAGCGCGATGATTACTGTATGGCACGTTCATAATGAAATTCACGATGAAGTGAGTAAGAATGATAAAGTACACAATAGTTTCATAAATAAAATAAAAGATCTGAGTGCCTACTGGTTGGAAGGTATTTATACTACTTCATAAAAACTGCTAAAACTTTATTTAATTACACATGGTAACTTGTATCGAACATGTCGAGTGGGATGTACGTATGTATTTAAAACCTAAATTGTATGTTGCTTTAGACGGACAAGTGAACTAAAAGCCAATAATATATTGGAACAATAGTATTGACAGAGATGTAACATATATAAACAACGTAAAAACTGTCAGGGGCGTATTCAGGAATTAGTCCAGGGGGAATTGAACTTTTTTCTTTGATGTAGGGGGGCTTTCCACTCTGAAACCCCCTGATAAATATAGATTTCGCTGATCCCGGGGGGGGGGGAAGCACACATAGCCCCCTTTCCTCTTTACGCCCCTAAACACATTATTTGGAGGTTGTTTCCCAGGAAATGCATACACGATGTATAACCTTTCAAATTTAAAGCAAAATAATCTGTTTTAAAGGAATAGTAAATATTAGATAACTTGACTTTTTCGTGCCATGAATGATTACTTTATAAAAAACCTTTTTTGTGAGAAAGTTGAATCATAACACATATTTCTTGAAGCTTTCAGATATTTTTCATTAATTTAAATCATAATTCATTTAGACAAAGATACAGGGATACCCACAAATAATTGCTAAAATACATGTATCTGTGTACAGAACGAGTTTACAATTACAAATTGATGATTATTTAAACAGTACAAGCTATAAAGCAATTAGGTGGAAAATAGCTCTTGGCTGTTTTGATTATTTTTTCCACCTAATTTTAATACTGATAACAAAAATTTCAATTAAATAGATTTAAGGAGAACTATTAGAGATCAGGGTGCGAATTTATCTTATGCAAAATAGTTTACACATTTATTAGAATAACTTCAGTTTAAAGTAATTTTCTGACATGTACACAACAAATGTCAAAACATATTAAAACATATCTAATTAGTTTTACATGAATAGCAATTCGGTTTATAACACATTGTAATGTAATTGTGTCGTGGACAATTTTTTTCAATGACTAACGGAAAAATTTGCCAAAGAAGAAAAAAGATTGCATCGTGAGTGTAACACGTATATTCAGCCTGCTTATAAAAAGTCTCATTAATTTTTCAGACAGGGTTGACTTTGAAGTGTCGCAACGCCTTAGGCTTTGATTTTACCACTCTAGCTTTGGGTTTTAAGAAGTAATTGGCAAATTTCTCATAGATTTTTGCTTGAGACCTCAGAGTGGTAAATTTAGTCGTCTCTAAGTCGATATACTTTGTGGGTAACCTTGTCGATCAGCAGACATGTAGGTAGGTACATGTAGGTGGGTACTTGAGAATGGAAACTGAGGCCATGTTAATCGAATAAAAACTGACATCTTCACATCCTTAAAGCCCAGGAATACAAAATGATAAATGTTGTATATCATCAAGTTTTGTTTAAGAGAAAAGATACAGTGGAACCTTTTATAACGAATACATCGAAAGAATTCATCAAATGTCGTATTCTTCACTTTCTAATAATGGAATGTTGCAGATATATGGAATTCTTTAAAATTGTTCCTGCATATTCATGGCTATTTATTTATTTTCGCAAATACTTATATTTACGTAATGTAGTATAAAACTCATTGAAAAATTGTCAAGACGACATTTGATAAATTCTTCCGATGTATTCGTTATTAAGGGTTTCACTGTACAGTATGTATCAAGTCACAATAAATCTAAATTTTAACCAGATAAAATGTCGACTTATTTCATCTGTTTTAAATCTACACTAAATATGTATCTGTGCCTAGTTAATCTACTTGTAAATCTCAAATTTGAACTCAATAGTATTTAACTTTTAATTGTAACCTGCAGGTGGGGTTTGATTTTCACATGTAGATATAAAGCCAATTGTTTCTGATACAGGGTGTCCCGCAAAACATTACCGTAGCAAGACGACTTGAAGGTCGTCTTTTAACTTTGAAATAATATGCGGCATTTATTAGTTAACCCAAAGACGTCATTGATATTGAATTTAAACAATCAACATTAAAACTTTAAATTTCAAATAAATTACTCATTAGTAGGTGCTAAAAGTTGTCGGAAATGAACGACACGGTTATAAACTTCGTTCTTGATCAGTTATAGGATAGGATGCTCTCCTGTTAAAATAAAGCAAAAATTGTGATTTTGTTACACATTCTATTAGTTTAAAGCAGAATTTTAGGCCTCTAAAGTGAGCAGGGCGAGCGGGAGAACGCAGGCGGCCATGAGTCACCACTATTTCCCCTTCCGTGCCACATATTAGCTGTTTTCTCTTCCGGCAGCCATGAGCCACCACTATTTCCCCTTCCGTACCACCACATTTGACTCTTCCCGGCAAATCTACTTTTTTAAATGGTATATTTAGGGCCTTTAAAGTGTGATTTTAAAAAATCCAGCCGCCTCACGCAAAAAAGCACAACTCAAACCATTTTTTTAATTCTACTTAAGATTAATATATTATGTGATGAATTCTTAAACTGTTTTAAAATGAAATTTTTGACAATTTTGACTGAGTATTGCATCTTGAAATATCACAAAGTTGATTAATGAGTGATTTTAAGATGGATTTAGTATAATGAGTCAGTAATTGAATAATCATTAGACTGTGATGTTTTAAGATGCAATACTCAATCAAAGTTGTCAAAAAATTTCATTTAAAACAATTTGAGAATTCATCACATAAAATATTAATCTCAAGTAGAATTGAAAAAATGGTTTGAGTTGTGCTTTTTTGTGTGAGGCGGCTGGATTTTTTAAAATCATACTTTAAAGGCCCTAAATATACCATTTACATATACAAACATTTGTTATATCAGAAACATTTGTTATATCAGAAACATTTGTTATATCAGAAACATTTGTTATATCAGAAACATTTGTTAAATCAGAAACATTTGTTATAACAGAAACATTTAATTATATCAGAAACATTTAATTATATCAGAAACATTTGTTATATCAGAAACAATTGTTAGATCAGAAACATTTGGTATATCAGAAACATTTGTTATATCAGAAACATTTGTTATATCAGAAACGTTTGTTAAATCAGAAAATTTGTTATATCAGAAACATTTGTTATATCAGAAACATTTATTATATCAGAAACATTTAATTATATCAGAAACAAAGCTTCGGAGGTCGGGAGAATAAAATGTGAGACTACCTACAGATTTCATAGTTACATACGATAATCTTAATTCATAAAAAAGGATCCTAAAATTCTAGTTGACCTTTTTTTAGGGTACAACCTGTAATACTAAATTTCATTAATGTGATCTGCTGCAAGTTTTGACCCTTCAAATTTACGGATATTTTTCAATTTGAGAAAAGAATAAAACCCTAATAAATGTCTTGTGACGAGGGCTGGAGTTTACTACCGCATATTTGCCAAGTGGTTTGTGCAAATAATTATAAACAATAATATGTACTAATGGAAAAAAATTTAAATATACAATTTTGTGGCAAAAAATTTGTAAAAGATAATCTATTATTCGAAAAATATTGAGTACGTTTTCAGAAAACTAAAAAAACTTTTTTGACATCTTACTTTGCAAATTTGTGTGAAAATCTATAATTTTGAAGTGTTTTCTAAATAGTTGTTCAAAGTACAATGGTTTTTATAAATGAATAATAACAGCATTGAAAGTGTCAAGAAAGTGGATAAATGATATTTTTAGAAAACATGTTAATATTTAGTTCAATATTTATACAATATTATCAAGTTCTTTATTAAAGTACAGTGCTTACCGTAAGTAGAAATCAGAAATAAATTGAAATCTTAACAAAATTCTTAATATCTTTTGTAATTTAGAAAGCACAAAAAATTGGGCAGAACTCATTTCAGACTAATTATTTTGTTATTAGTGCGATCATAAAAAATATTTTTTTACCAAAAAAAGACAAACCCTAAGTTACCCGAACTTACTGAACCCCATCTTGAATCCAATTAAATAAAATCTAACTAAACACATTCCCATTCTATTTCTTCCTTTGTCTATCTTGATTACTAGCCCAGTACCCCCCCCCCCCCCCCTTAAAAAAAACTATCCGAGCCCCAGGATAACACACTTCAACTCTGTAAACCATTCTAAACTTAATACGAGCCAATCCTTTTCCTAAAATAATCCCAACCCTACCCAAAACCGAGAAATATATAGACCAGTTATTACGTTTTCAAATAATAAATTTAGTGCATTAAAATTGTGATTTTCAAAAATCAAGCGACGTCATGCAAAATATATATTTAAAGAACTTATTATTTAAGTTGAAATAATGACGATTCCTTTTATGTAAACTGCTAAACTTATTTTCCCAAAAAATTAATTTTTATCTTTCCTCTGAAATGCCTTATTTTTGAAAAACATTATGAACAGTAAAAATGATGCCCCATAACATACTCTTCAAGTTCAAAAGGGCCCATAAGCACAAAATTGCACTATTTAACATGAAAATTGCAAAATATAATTCTTTTGGGGAAATCTGTAACGCTCAGGTAGTGACTGATAATATTTTGAATTTTCTCATCTTTTCTCATTCTTTGCAGACTACCCCAAACAATTTGTCTCGGTGGCAACAAAGCGTAAAATTATGTAATTTTTTTTATGTAATGAAAAGTATTTTTTACACTAAACACAAAATTCTTTAATTTTTAAAAAACTTAAAATATGTCTTAAAGGTATAATCTTTCGCGTAATGCGGCGGGATTTAAAAAAATTGCAACTTTAATGCCCGAAATGTATCATTTAAAAACATAATAACTGACGGAAGACTTAAATGCTGTGGCATGGATGACCGTACGGTTGTGGCTCATGGCTGCCGGAAGACAAAAAGATAGTATGTGGCATGGAAGGGGAAAATTATGTGGCTTATGACCGATTGCCTTCCCCACTCTTCCTAGACCCTTTCTAACCCTAACTAAACCCAGACCTTAACAAGTCGAAACTCCACTTTATAACCTATTTCTGCCTTTACCTATTCTTTCATCTTAACCGAGCCTATACTTTTCCCAACTTTCCTAACATTACACAATAAATCACATTGTCTTGAAAAAAATTACATCCTAATTATAAACTAACTCAACTGAGCTGGAAACTTAAGAATTGCCTCAATCCCAAACGCTTAATCTAAATATCCAATGTGAACACTTAATTTCTTGCTTTATCCGCTATTTTAGGATATACCCAACAAATTCCGACCAATTAGAGTTCTCTCATTAAATGGCGCGTAAAATTTCAAATTTCTCGGCTTCTGATTGGCTGTTCGAATTAAATTAATACTGTGATGAATAAAAAGAGGAGATCAAGCATTGATCTTAAAATCCAAAATTCTAAAGTTTTCAGCTCTGTTCCTCTAAACAATCTATTACTATAAGACTTATCACAACGTACCTCTGCTTAAACTGATCCTTAAACTAAACCTAAGTTTAATATCAAAGTTTACTAGAACAAACCATTCCCCTTACAAAATCCTTCTTCTTTGACATGAAAAAAAAACAACAAAAAAAACAATGCAACCAGAGAACAATATATATTTTACTCCAGATTTGTTCAAATGCCAAGGATTTTCAAATCCTTGTATTTCTTCTTTATTTGTTGTTTCGCTTCATCACTAACAGCTGGACAATATGATATATTCAGGCACTGTAATCTCTCTCCACATAGTTCCAACAGGTTCAGGAGTCCAATATCAGTTAGCGAATACCAATGATAGCAATCCAACTTCAGGAGAGAAGTTAGAGAACCCTGTGATCATCGATATAATATTTTGTTTTATAGTACATATCCCAAATTGCATAGGCCTGGGGCTTAGGTCTGTTAACCCTAATTATATGAACAATTTTCTATATCGTTTCTGAGTTAAAATCCCCATTTAACTTTATAAAGAAGCCACAATTTAAAATAACCGATTTCAAAGAAAAAATTATTGGAATCTAGAAAAAGCTCATAAGGGTACTATTGTGGACTGTACATGCCTAGCTCTGTATAAGTGGAATCACTTGAGTTAAAACTACTATACAGTCCCTTTAGCATTCTCTAGTTTGTCATATTCAAAGGATCAATTGAGGCTTCTTGGTCTTAAACATTCATCAAAGAATATCTTCTTTGCAAGAGCTTTTAACATTTGTAAAAAAACATCATATCTTTAAACAATGTTGAACATTTGTAGATGACATTTTTCCGCCATAAAATACGTCAAATAGTGTCCGAATTTAAAGAATTTAAGCCGCGTCTCAAATCACCCAAAAACCGGTTTCAATTGAGCGTCGGCTTAAATCTTGAAAAATTTTAAGTGGAACCAACCATATTTGAGCCTCCGCTCAAATTCTTTAAATTCAGCCTCAGGCTTTCATAGCCTTACGAGCAATATTCTTTGTTAACATTTGAAGTTTTCTTATGATGCTTTTCAATCCCGCTTTTCTTATTTGGGCATCATAACTTAAAATTTAGCAGATTTTTCTGTTTTCATTAAAACATTTAAAATCGATTTTAATAATAACATTTTTCCAGATATCATTTTTAAATTCTCATCCTGGTCGTGTTAGTTGCCATAAAAGATTTGGGCTTGATTTTTGGAAACACAAACACAAAGACAAACCGATTATAGATATAGATTATATCGATGCCTTGAAGTCTGGTAAAGGGTTTCCGGTCATCTTAGTTCCACCAATATCCAGACTCTCTAGGGTTGTACTGCTCAGTCTCAGCATCTCCAGTAGACCTGGATACACAATATTATATCTTAGTTCCACCAATATCCAGACTCTCTAGGATTCTACTACTTAGTCTCAGTATCTCTAGTAGACCTACACAATATTTCATCTTAGTTCCACCAATATCCTGACTCTCTAGTATTCTCCTACTTAGTCTCAGTATCTCTAGTAGACCTACACAATATTTCATCTTAGTTCCACCAATATCCAGACTCTCTATGGTTCTATCAACTAGTCTCAGTATCTCTAGTAGACCTACACAATATTATATCTTAGTTCCACCAATATACAGACTCTAGTATTCTACTACTTAGTCTCAGCATCTCCAGTAGACCTGGATACACAATACTATATCTTAGCTCCACCAATACCCAGACTCTCTAGTATTCTACTTCTTAGTCTCAGTATCTCTAGTAGACCTACACAATATTTCATCTTAATTCCACCAATATCCAGACTCTCAGGGGTTATTATAAGGGATAATTTGACTGTAATTGAGATCGAGATGCATAAAAATTTATAAAAAGTAAGGAATTTTGAAAATGTTAAGTATTTTATACAAAATGTAAAACAAAATACATTTCATTGGAATTAGAAAACAGTAAACCGATTGTCGTCTTCTATATTTTTCAACCATGAATGTTCCAAAAAATTGTTGTAATTTATTTGTTAAGTGTACCCAAAAACTTTTTTCCGTAACATGTTTGTGAAAATGATTAAAAATTGGTAGAAAAAAAACACAATAAAAGACGATTATTCAATTACACTTGTTTCCTGTACCNCCCCCGTTTCCCAAGTTTTTTGACTGTATACTCTACCTAGGTCACTAAGCTGCGTACAGTAGCTGCAGTCTAACTCAACCAGACTGAGCCGGTCAACCTTGATCAAACTTTCACCAGAAATATTAGTTCCGCGCAGGATCAGAACACTCAGAGTTTTCCCGCATATTTTCATCAGCTGTTCGAATCCTAATTCTGATAATTTCAAACAAGAATGGCAGTTTAGTTCTTTAATACTGGGAAGAGACTGTAGGTCCACTAAACCTTGTCCTGATACCGAAGTGCGTCCTATGTCTAGAGTTTTTATGGAATTTTGGCACAGTTTAAGGAGCTGAAGTAGGCCTACATCTGAAAGATTAACACAACCATGACAGTTTAACTGCTCAAGTTTTGGTAACAGAACACGATTTTCAGAAAACTCGGCTTCTCCTGATATATTGGTTTTACTCACGTCTAAACATATCAGTTGTCTACCACAAATATCTAGGATAGTCTTAAGACCTAGATCAGACAGAGGACACGCGACAAGTTTTAATGTTTCAATCTGCGTAAAGATTCCCGCATTTTTCAATCTTTCTCCTGTTATTTTAGTTCTGTGGAGTTCTAATGAGATTAAATTAGGAAGGAATAGAATGATCTGTAGGCTGGTATCAGAGATCAAATTCTGAATTCGTTCGTTTCCAATCCTTATGAGTTGAATCTCCGGATGATCTTGAACAAGGATATCAATTCCTTCATCCCAGCCTTCGGTTTCTCCATCTGTTCGAGGAACCTCTAAACCTGAAAAACTGAGTTATAAACTATCTATTAATAATCTTATAAAAATAATATTGAGCTTAACTTTTTAATGAATCTTACTAATTATAAATATAGACAAATGTGTTTAAGACTATCACTTTTTTTAACGGGGTCATAAGGAATTATATCATTTTGGCAAAGAAAACAAGAGTCATGACTTTAATAATCATGATGTTTAGCTGCCTCTTCAGTAGATTAATGAAAATTATTAAAAAATCTTAAGATTTTTCTAAAATATCGGAGATGGTTTTAATTATCCAACATAACATTATTGCTATATAGTTTTATAAAAACCCCTTTTCTCCGGTTATTACAACAAAATTAACAAATTAAAAATGCAGTGCTTAGGATCCATTTCTTTTTGATGCAGATCCGGATCCTTGATCCGTCCAGAAAAGAAGAATTTTCTAATTATTTTTCTTCTTTTTTCGCTAAGACTTGATGAACTATTCAGAAATAAAGAAATTTTTAAAAATCTTTCTTTTTCAATAGATTTGGGTTTTGAGAGCAAAAAGTTGTTTTTACAGTTTTTGGTTGATAATGTTGCCCCTTTGATCCTGATCAGTGGATTCACATATTTTTAAAGAAAATCCGGAACCGGGAAGCCAAAATGTTGCGGATCCGGATTCTAAGCACTGCAAAAATGTTTACCTAGAATTGTGTGAACATCATGAGAAAACTTGATTAAAAGACTGGACGTGAAAACTCGTTGAAATCTCCAGTATTTAAACCGTTTCCAGTCCAGATCCTCGACTCGGGACTTAACAGTTGTATTCACGAGTCTCAAAACCTTCTTATTCTCCATATCCAACATCTAAAGTTCATCAATTTTATGATAATTAATAATCAACTAATCAATTAATAAATCAATCAATTAAAGTTTTATGAATGTCCTACTATCCACATATCAATCTCGAGATAAACTTGCTAAATCAAGAAAAAGATATGTAATAATTAATTATGAACTGATCAATCAATCAATCAATCAAACAATCAATCAATCAGTCTTACTATCCACTTGGGAGTTAAAACGATATATATTACTATCCATGAAACATGATGTATAGTAAAATCCTGAAATATATTAAAATGTTTAAATCTGAATCTGATTCTTTAAATATATTTTGTATATATGTTAGCTATAGCTAGCCAAACGGCTGGACCGAATTGGCTGATGTTTTTAAGGAAACTCATAGGTACCCTGGAGGTAACAAAGGCAAAAAAAAATGTCTTCAAAAATCGATTTAAAAAAAAAATATTAGATTTTTTAAAATTTCACGGGCAACGCCGGACACTTTATCTAGTAATTAATAATCAACTGATGAAACAATTAATCAATCAGAGTTTTAGGAATGTTCTACTATCCACATTTCAATCTCTAGATGAACAAAATAAATCAAGAATGAGCTATGTTCTTACAGCTGATAATTAAATGATTTAAAATATATTGATTAAATTCAATATTATTTTTAAAAATGTTAATTCAGTCTATATTTCACAATTTCTATATAAAATAACAAGCTAAAGTTACCAGCGTTGCCCGTAAAATTAAATCAATGATTTCATGATAATACTCTCTCCAACCCAACTTATCACTCTAGGTTTCAAATAACTGTTATTTTCGTCATAATATATTTCGTTGTAAACCAAAACATCTTCAGATGGCTAATGAATTAAACAAAAAATTTAGAAATTTAAAAGAAAAAAATTAAATTTTTGAAATTTATTTTTAAATATACATGAACCGTCGAACAGCACTCCATGGAAATTAAAACAAAACTCCCATAAAAAAATAATCGACATTGATTCAAAGAAAATAAGTAGTTTCATACCTGGACGATTTTCTCCAAGAGTTCAGGACATAAATCCTCTAGCCTGGAGCGGGGGGATTCTAGGAGAAAAATTCTTTGATAACTTCAAAAGCAAAAACTTTTTCATAGGAAAAACACAGATTATATAATTAAATAAAGGATAAATGCAATAATGGAGGACATCCTCTCATAATACAAACCACATTTATAACTGCCCAGACTTCTCATTACATACCCTCATAATACAAACCACATTTATAACTGCACAGCCTTCTCATTACATCCCCTCATAATACTAACCACATTTATAACTGCCCAGACTTCTCATTACATCCCCTCATAATACAAACCACATTTATAACTGCCCAGACTTCTCATTACATCCCTTCATAATACAAACCACATTTATAACTGTACAGCCTTCTCATTACATCCCCTCATAATACAAACCACATTTATAACCCAGACTTCTCATTACATCCCCTCATAATACAAACCACATTTATAACTGCCCAGACTTCTCATTACATCCCTTCATAATACAAAACACCTTTATAACTGCACAGCCTTCTAATTACATTCCCTAATAATACATACCACATTTATAACTGCCCAGACTTCTCATTACATACCCTCATAATACAAACCACATTTATAACTGTACAGCCTTCTCATTACATCCCTTCATAATACAAACCACATTTATAACTGCCCAGACTTCTCATTACCAGCCTATGGACCCACCCTATTGAAGCATCTAACCTCCTGGGACTGTACGAAATCAAAGAAGCAGAACCAGGATAAAGCTAGAACAACAAAGGGGAAAAAATAACTACCTGACAGAACTTCTGTCTGTGGTTTCATCCTTTTGTGTTAAATGTCCCGGAGAGATATTCTAAATAATATAATATTTTAATTAAAACCATTTACAGAAACTGTTAACCAGCCTCACCAGCCCGGCATGTAAAGAATTTGAAAAAAAAGTTAAGGGAAGATTTTTCTATATAGTAAAATGCGAAACCTGAAATCTAGAAATCAATTGATGGATTACTACATCAGCAACAAAGCTCAGTTTTTAAATTCCATGCATCCAAGAAAAACTGCAGTGAACTGGTCAGAACACTGTACTGCAGGCTCACTGAAGTGTGACTTAAAGGGACTGTTAACGTAATTTCGATTGAACCTCTATACAAAGACGGCAATTACCGATTTACAACGGTACCCTTAAAACATTAGTTTTGACTGATCATCGAGAATAGAGAACTCAAGTGTGTTTATCTCTCAAACAGTGTTTAAATTGCCATAAAACGGGAGTGTACGCGTACAGTGTAGTATCCACTTCTTTACCCAAAGAGTCATTGATGATTGGAACCAGTTACCCAGCACAATTAGAGAGTCTCAAAATATCAAGATATTTAAAAGAAATCTAGACCAATATTTATCTTCTTCTGAGATGAACTGATGAACTGAGAATATGACAGGATCTCCAGAAGAAGACTGTGTGGAAAAGATGTTGCTAAATGCCCCTAGCGGGGGCTACATCAACTACTCTCCAAGTATACAAGTAAGTATATTGCATAGTGTACTAGTGTATATACCTTCAAAAAATATCGAATATTTAATGTCAAAAGCGGTTTTCAAAAATTCTAATACAAATAATATTTTTTTAGAAAATAAATATGAAAATTTCCTAAATTAACAAATACAGGCGTTTCTGTAGATTATTACGAGTTATACTGAAGTCCTTGGTCAGACAAAGGTTTTAAAGTACTGTTGTAGATCAAAAACGACACTCTACTATAGTGGGTGGTCACTTAAAATTAAGATTACAGTCTCTTTTGTACGAACTTCTTTCAGGTCTAGAATTCAATATTAGAAAAGCTGACTTTGTATTCTTTATCTATTAGAACTGATTGTTTTTGTATTGGCTGATTTTTTTTGTATTAATCAAAGCTGATTGTATTGAGTATTTATCAGAGTTGATTGTATTTAGCATTTATCAGAGCTGATTGTATTTAGTATTTATCAGAGCTGATTGTATTCTGTATTGAGTAAAGTAGATTGCATGCTGTATTTACCAGAGCTGATTGTATTCCGTATGAATGAAAACTGATTGAATTCTGTATTTATCAGAACTGATTGTATTCTGTATTTATGAAAACTAATTGTCTACTGTATTTACCAAAGCTGAGTTTATTCTTTATGAATGAAAACTGATTGAAGTCTCTGTTCATCAGAGTTGATTTTATTTAGTATTTATCAGAGCTGATTGTATTTAGTATTTATCAAAGCTGATTGTATTCTGTATTGATTAAAGTAGATTGCATGCTGTATTTACCAGAGCTGATTCTATTCTGCATGCATGAAAACTGATTGTATTCTGTGTTTATCAGAGCTGATTGTATTCTGTATGCATGAAAACTTATTGTATTCTGTATTTATTAGAGCAGATTGTATTCTGTATGTATGAAAACTGATTGTAATATGTATTTACCAGTGCTGATTGTATTCTGGAATTCCTCACCTGATTTTTTTCTATATCATTCTACGTAGTTGCAGTTCATATTTCTCTGAAAAATATACAATGGTAAAATTTATCACATTAAAAATAAATATTTTAATATAATTATCAACAGTTCAAATGTATTTATATAAAGCGTAAGAAACAACTCTCATATTGTTGATAGGCTACAATGTTTCCTATGAGTATCATCAGTATCCAATAACGAGGAACTATAAAAACAATATTATCTGGTAATAATGGCAGATTTAATCACAGTAAATATGTAAAATTGATATCAAGATGGTTTGTTTCTTTTTATTCAACTAGACATCCTGCATCTCATATCCGTTCCTTGATCCAATCCGCAACATCTTGGAACGCTTCTTTTCGTACATGAGGGAGCTCAAGGAAGAGTTGATGCTTGCTCCCGTCATAAACCTTAATCTTCTTATCCTCACATATACTCTGTCTGTAGAGGAGATGGGAGCCCCCAGGATTGCACAAAATGTCCTCACTACCATGAATGATAAGGAACGGAGTCTGAACTTCAGAAAGTTGGTTGATATTGGCGTCCAAACAATCTGTAAAGGCTAGGAGGAGACGGACCTTGCAGCCTCCGGTCCATCTCAGTTCATCATTCTTTAGAACCTCGTGCATATCCTCGTCCCGGGTCAATCTTCGAAGGTCGGGCCTCCCCAAGGCGGTCTCGGGGTTAAACCAACAGAGAAATTTAAAAACATTCCGGCTGACAAAAGTTTTAATGGCAGTTGACCTAAGGTCCATCCCTAGGATCTGAGGACCAGGAATAATGAGTGGACCGTTGAGGACCATGCCGTGGAAGAAGTCCTTGTTTCTGAGGGATGCCCTCACGCTGATCATGCCTCCCATGGAGTGCCCAACAATAAACAGCTTCAAGTCAGGATATTTCGCCTTCATCAGGGAACAATGTTGAATCACATCATCACAATAATCATCCACGTTCTCGATGTAAGCTCGTAGTCCTCCACTTTTCCCATGTCCGACATGATCGTGCCCAAACACATAGAATCCTTCTTTGGTGAGAAACTCTGCCACTTCATGATAGAATCCTAGATGTTCAGAAAATCCGTGAGCTAGAAAAACTAACGCACGCGCAGTTTCTTTGGGTTTCCAGCAGTGTACTGCCAGCTTTTCTCCTCGTGGATTTTCCAGTTCATCTTCACTGTACATGCTAAACAAAAAAAACTTAGTTAACTAAATGTTAATATTTCATCAATGACGCACACAAAATGTTTATTTTAGTAAGAATGGCTGTTTCCCGGCTTTACAGTCTTGAAAATAATCTCAGTCATTTTCTTCCTCGTGTGATTCTGTAGAAACCTGTGATTCAATTCCTTGACAATGTCCGGGAAAAGATTGATATGCAAATGATACTTTCTCTGGTCACTTTCCTCATACTCTAATTTTTTATTCCTTATATCAATGCAACCTGATGTCGCAAAGCTAACATAATGATGAACTATGAATTCTGCTAAATTAAATTGTCAAAATGTTAAATATCAGGTTGTAAAGATAAAGGGATTAAAACATTCAAGGATAGACTTCCGTTAAAAAAGAAATAAACATGTTCACCACACTTTGGAGGGGAAAGGGGGCGAGGTTTTTCAAACATGAACCCCTTGTATTTTGTGTCTGTTAACAAACTTTATTTCTAAGGTATCCATTATTCCAACTAAAATGGGACTGTACACGTATTTAAAAAAGTTAAATGCCTGATTCAAAACGGTAAACTTTAATCCTTTGTATTATATATATATATATATATATATATATATATTTAAGAGCATCACTGACCATGATATCGTCGTTTTGCTGTCTTAGATCGTGTTAAAATCAGTCAATTTTCCTCAATTTAAATAATTATTGATAATTTTGGGGAAAAATGAAATTTTTTTTCATTCTTTTTGATGTTTTAACCAAAAAGTTCTTTGATTTACCGCTAAAAAGTCATTTACTTTCCCCAATTAAACTATCAATTAAAAACTAACCATTAAAACATGTTTAAAAACTTTCAATTTTTCTCATTAACTCATTTTGAAAATCTCTTCAAATGCATGGAGAAAAATCACACTTGATAATTATCAATTTCCTGATTAACAAACAATAATCTTTTAAACATTTTTGCTCAGACATAAGTGTGATGGGTACCGATGCCAATCGGACATTCCACTCTACATTAGAAGGATTGCTCAAAATTAAGTCTACAGCAGGGGTGTATAT